TCAGTGGCTTGGTCAAGTTCCTAAAAAGAAATGAGGTTGAGTTGGTGCAGATAGATTCACGCCACGATCGTGGTGGGCGCAGAAATGCGATCTTTACTTTTCGCCGACCAGAAACGTCCGGGGTGCATAGACCAGCGGATAGCGCTGTCTCAGGATGGTGAACGCCGCATAGAATGCTGCACCAGTTGCGCCGGCAATGACGACAGCTGAAATGAACGAGTCTAAGGACACATCCTCGATCTTGGGCGGAACGGGAGCAGACATTTCTCCAGTCCGACGTTTTGCGAGCGGGGTTTCTTTGAGGTAACTGAGAGATCCGTGCGAACCAGAGTGTGCAGGGTCAAAGATTCTGTTCCGTCGGCAGTTAAAGTATCGTATGAGGACGAGGTGAACTGCGGGGTTTGAGAAAGAGGAATGTGCTTTGTGTCTACAGATCGAGTCCAGACCTAAACCAGTTGGGCTTGTACCAGTATTTGCGTTTTTGCAGCGAAACAGGAGTGGCCGTTGTGTGTGCTTTTTATCACTGGAGGGCCCGCCTTTTTTCCTAAATAGCAGTTAGCCTACGTCAGAACGAGTCAGGGCGGTTCCTTTAGCGGAGAGTCGTCACTTGTTCATCCCTTGTAACACCTCTCATTCTTCTTCGCGCCGAGGCCCAATTGCGTCACGCGTTCGGGCCCGGGTACCCGGTCATCGGCAGCATTGGCATATGTACAGTCGGTGGGCAAAAATGTGGAGCCCCCCCCTTGTGTAACTGTTGGTTGGCGTCCTTCGCCAGCCGGCGTCTGTCCGGACATGCCGCGACGCTGCCGCATTTCTTCCTGCATTCCCGCATTCCCGCAATCTTCTCGGCAGCATGTCCAACAAGCACCTGACCTCAGAGAAGCGAGCTGCCATCGTTGCTCTCAAGGAGGCAGGCATCACCATCACCAAGATAATGGCACTGCAAGGGGTTTCCCGAAGCGCCATTCAAAAGACTTGGAAGCGTTGGCGGGAAGAGAAGACCGTGGCGAGCAGAAAGCAGACTGGACGCCCCCGTAAACTTGGAAATTCTGCACAAGAGGTAGAGGTACTGAGAGCTTTTGCAAACACTAACCGCTGGTTGGATATGACAACTATGGTGCATCGTTGGTTTTTGACCACAGGACAGCACCTTCACAAAAAAACCCTCCGACGCTACTTCTTTGTCTATCTCAACTATTCAAGTTGCTGGGCTGCTCGTAAGCCCACTCTAAACGCCACACATTGTCTCAATCGACTCGCCTATGCTCAAGCTCACCTCAATTGGACCCTCGACCAGTGGCGACGTGTTATGTGGACTGACGAGACTTCAATTATGATTGGAGGTCGGTACGCAAAGCGGGTGCTGCGGGGACGAGGGCAAAGGTATGACGAGCGCAACATTCATCATATTTTACGCAAGGGAAAGTCAGTCATGTTCTGGGGTTGTTTTGTAGGAAACAATACCGGACCGCTCAATGAAATCACGAAAATCATTCAGCCTGCTGGCTCAAAGGAGAAGCAAACCAAGGGCATCAACTCCACTGCCTATATCAAGCATCTCAACTGCCACGTCATGAACTTCTATGATGCGGAAAATGCTGCAGATCCCACAAACCCGCTCATTTCATGCAGGACGGTGCTCCCATCCATTTCTCTGCTGCGACAATGGTCTGGCTTGCGCAGGGAGGCATCAAGCCAATGCAGTGGCTTGCCAACAGCCCTGATCTCAACCCCATCGAGAACATCTGGGCTATCATCAAGCACAAGGTCTTTGCTCTCCGTCCACGTCCAACAAGGGGCGACGAGCTCAAGTTCCATGTAGATTTAGCTTGGCTGGCCCTTGATCAAGAGTTTTTAGACAAGCTCATAGAGAGCATGCCTTACCGTATGCAGGCTATTGTAGATGCGGAGGGGGCATCCACTAGATATTAGACACTAGGATAGACAATTCGTTCATGCGCACCAACAGTTCGACCCATTTTCCCTCACCACTCCCTCAAAAATGGTCCAAATGACAAAAAGAAGACAGTTCCACATTCCCCAGAGCTTGTGCTACGATGTGGTGATAGTGCGAAGATGGTATCTGGACAGGGGTGGAAGGGGTATGAGCAGATGTGCGAAAACGCGCAGAAATCGCATTTTTATTCACCACTCCCTCAAAAATGGTCCAAATAACGAAAGCAAGACAGTTCTAGACTCGCGCGGGTCTAACATACGATTTGGTATGTGACGGAAGCCTGTATCTGTGCAGATGTAGAAAGTAGTTTTTCAGCGTGTGCTTACATATACGACGTGTCATTGTATTTCTACTCACCACTCCTTCAAAAATGGTCCAAATAATGAAAGGAAGACAGTTCTAGACTCGCGCGGGTCTGGTGTACGATGTGGAACATTGCGAGGCTGGTATCTGTGCAGGGGTGGAAGGAGTATGAGCAGATGTGCGAAAAACCGTCGAAAAACGCGAAATCGAATCACTCTGTCAATACCTGTCCAATTGACGAAAGGAAGACAGTTCTGAACTCGCCAGGGTCTGTTCTACGACGGGGTAATGCGGCGCTGGGTCTGTGTCGGGTCTAGAATGCAAAATGCCTGCAGAGACGTCTCTTATGGTCAAAAAACCATCAAAAAACGCGAAATCGAATAACTCTGTCAATACCTGTCCAATTGATAAAATAAAGACAGTTCTAAACTCGCCAGGATCTGTTCTACGATAGGGTAATGCCGCGCTGGGTCTGTGTCGGGTCTAGGATGCGAAATGCCTGCAGAGATGTCTCTTATGGTCAAAAAACCGTCGAAAAACGCGAAATCGAATCACTCTGTCAATAGCTGTCCAATTGACGAAAGAAAGACAGTTCTGAACTCGCCAGGGTCTGTTCTACGACGGAGTAATGCGGCGCTGGGTCTGTGTCGGGTCTAGAATGCGAAATGCCTGCAGAGATGTCTCTTATGGTCAAAAAACCATCGAAAAACGCGAAATCAAATAACTCTGTCAATACCTGTCCAATTGACAAAAGGAAGACAGTTCTGAACTTGTCAGGGTCTGTTCTACAATGTGGAAACGGCGGAGGGTCCAATCCACTAGGTATTAAATTCTCAATTCAACGGAATTGCTGGCACATGTTGTTTGGCTGGGTGTCCGAAACAAATGTAAGCAAGCATAAGCAAGGCATCGCCGTCAAACAGTGGTGATACGAAGTAGTGTCCTTTGTGGGGGGGCTCCACATTTTTGCCCACCGACTGTAAGGCCATCTCCGGTCGTCGCGTTTCTTTGCGCGTTTACTCTATTTTATAAAAGACGGCCGAAAAAAGCCATCTCCAGTCACGTCCTTTAACCGAACAGTCGGTTTTCCACCACCTCCCATGTGTCCGTGCAGCCACAACCGTCTTTTATTCTTTAGTTCCTTCTTTATATATAGAGTTGGAAATAAAGCCAACTCTATAAATAGTAAACCAAACAGCGCAACTCCAGTCATCCATCGTCCTTCAAATTCACTTTACAGGATGCAACCAATCTGGAATGGACAGAGCGAGTTCAGCCAGTCTGATTATGGCAGCAGTCAATATAATTATAGCAGCAGCCAGTAGCTTCTGCTTATTTACGTCACTGACCCTTTCACTAGGAGATATCAAGATTACAAAGGCTACAGACATTAACCAAGCACATCTACCAAGACCATGGAGTACATAGTCAGCCAACCAGCATGGCCACCAGCTGCTACATGTACTTGGAGTCCAAACCCAGAGTCAGTTACTGTGATGCAGGCAGCAGCTTTTCTTAACCTTATGCCAATGCCAACCTTCACTGCAGGCTGTAGTAAACCCAAACCAACATTGACACTGACTACAGACTATGTAGTTGACCAAACCACCTTTGCTTCTACAATTAGAAAGCAAAGCACTGTATTCAGTATCTTTGAGAGCATACTCATTGCCACGTGCTACATACAAGTATCAGAAGACCCTATCATTGGTATTCAGCAAAAGTTTAAATCTTTTTGGGAAAAGGTTGCAATGATGTATCTAGAGAACAGCAATCTCAACTGGGAGTTCCAAACTGTGTAAAGGCCCTGCCGTGCAGGTACTTGTTGATCCATAAAACTTGTAATAGGTGGACTGAGGCCTCAAGAAAGCAAAAGCACTCATCTCTGAGGGCAATTCCAACATTGTAGATTACACACGAAAGGTTTACCAAAAGATCACCAAAAGCGAAATCTTTTTTTACATGGAAGTCTATAATATTCTGAAAGAGATGCCCAAGTATATGATTCATTGTCACTGGACTACATAGTTGTGATTACTCATTCTTCATTTCTTACTAGGTTTAAGCTAAATCTCACAAAAAAGAGGTCTGGTACGGATTCTATTGACACAACCTTGGCACATTTCCAGTCTATGGGACTCAAGTGTGCAAAGTGCTTTGCTGCAAAACAGACACAGAAAAGAGGAGCTTTTTAGGGCTGGGACAAGAGAATATTGTTGAGGACCGGTGCCAAGCTGAGGCTCAACAGAAAACAATGGAGTGTTTAATGTTTCTTATCAGCAACAACATTGATAAAAAGAAGAATCTGGCGGAGTTTCTCTGACTGAAGAAAAAAAATAAGCTAACACTTGCACGCAAAAGAGTGGAAAGGGCCATGTGCAAGATGGGTGCCAGCGTAAGCACTCCACAGAATATTATACCTTAAGGATGGCCATGGATGGGCATCACGTGACCAGGACTGCTCCATAGTCCAGAAGAAAAGAGGAATACTCCGACAAGGATGAATGGAAAGGTTAAAAAACTTACAGTTAAAATTAAACGTAGGAATATCCCAAATAAAAGACTAGACTCTGGCAACAGACTTAGTATTATTACATGATAGTACCACAAAATTTGAACTTGACTTATACTACTTTTTGCACCACTGCACAGATAACTTAGTGACCAGTGGGTATTTATACTTCGAAAGCTTTACCTCTTCCCCTCCCCCAAGCTCAGCTTCCAAAGAAAAGAATTTTTGTTAAGCCCCTAAGGTTTGAACCCTAGGACTTTTGATTCAGAATACCACACTTTAACCACTAAGCCAAAAGTGAAGTGTAGCGTTGTCAGATGCATGGAGATGTAATGTATGAGAAAGTATTTTTTTTATGTCTTAAGTTTTATTGGTAATGTTTTGCTTGTCAAGCATTCTAATCTACTTTTTCTTCAATCACGTGATCACACGTGATCCAATTCAGCTCTTAGGGTTACCGGTATCACGGTCATGCGTTCCAGTCAGAGAATGCAAGTTAAAATTTAATGTAAGAACTAATGTTGAGTATGCATAGCTCAACATTCCAATACACCCCCTGTCCAAACAATTAATCTGCAATAATGGGATTTTACTCATTTGGAAGCTCTGTCATGGACACTTTTGTCATTGGCCTAATGGTGTTATTGTAGTGCTTGATGCACATGTTTTTGCAATGATATTTGAATGTCGGAGCTGGTAAGGGCTTTGTAAGTGAGTCAGCAACCATATCCGCGGTGGGTAAGTACTCCAAGTGAATCTCGTTGTCAACGTGATCACGGATGAAGTGATGTCAAATGTCGATGTGCTTAGTACGGATGTGATGCATGGAGTTCATTGCCAACGAGATGCATGACTGGTTGTCTTTGTAGATCGTTGTGGGCCGAGTATTTTTATTGATTTATTTGGAGATTTAGAGTTCTTGTAGAAGTGAACAAAGCCAGATTGTTTCTTGAATGGCGAAAGAAAGTGCCATGTATTCAGCTTCAGTAGATGAGAGAGCAACGGTAGGTTGGTGCTTCGAAGCCCAAGTAACTGGGCCCACATTTCCAATGTAGAAAAGGTAGCCAGTGCTCAACCGTTGATCAATGATGTTGTTTCCCCAGTCAGCATTGCTAAAGCCATGAAGGGTAACATAGTTTTTCTGCCAATGCAGAGACTGTAAGCTGATGTCCCCCGTAGGGAGCAAGGAACACGCTTTGCATCATGCAGATGTTGAGGACTGACAGCAACAGCAATCCCAGGGCACGTGCAAATAATCAGGTAAATGAGAGAACCAAAGATTTTGCGATATTCTCCTTCTTGCGGGTTTGGGAAAGTCTTTGTGTTTTTGACTTTGTAGGGTTCGAGCTTAGTCTGGTCCATTGGGGTATTGATGGGCTTGCAGTCTTGCATACTAAAGCGCTCAAGGATGTCATTTAGATACGACTATTGATCAAGATAGATGACACACCGTGAGTGATTGCATCAAACTCTCATCCCCAGGTAGTGGTTAACCTTGTCTAGCTGTTGGAGTCTGTATCTCTGCCTGTAGACGCTTGATCTCCAGACTGTGGGCAGCATTGAGTAGCTCAGGTTGTGTGACAGCCAACAAGCCTTGTTACAGTTAGATGAAGCCACAGCTGACCCTGTTGTGGCAGGTTACATCCTGAGGCTGTGTTGTTTGAGCTGAGCCTTTCCCAAGGATCTTGGCGACGCTCAGAACAGCCTCAAAGTGCCCACAGAGATCTCAGCGTTGCTTGGCACTGCTCAGCCAGTGTCTGCCCAGACCAGCCACAGCCATTCCAAGGGCGTTGGCATCCTTGGCAGTGTACTGATAGTCTCCCATAAGAAGCCAGTGATCCCTGGCCCCTCCCTCAAAAAAAAATAAGCAGTTTCTGCACACACAATCAACACGTGCAGAGCTTCCTCATCATACCTATTCAACAAAGTATGAGCCCTGCATCTGCAACTCATTGATCAATCAAGAAAATCAACACCAACCTCAACCACCCAGTCCCTTTACTGTTATTCCTCTCTTTACCAACCTCCCACCACCCTCAACAAACTCACCATGTCCTCTGACAATGACACTGACTGCCTTGCCATCGACAAGTTCACAGACAAAAACTTCCAGCTCTGGAAGTTCAAGATGCAGGCGATGCTGAGAGCCAAGAGCTTGTGGAGTGCCATCAAATGGATGCTCCCTCTGGACACCTGCAACCAGGATGCTGGCAGGAAGGAGGAGAAGGCTATGGCTGCCTTGTTGCTATCATTGGGAAATGAGCAACTCCTGCATGTTCAGAATGCTGCAACAGCTGCTGAGGTCTGGAGGAAGCTGAAGGAGGTGCATGAGAGAAAAGGGATTGCAAACAAGCTCTATCTGAGATGAAAGTTCCTGACAGTGGTGACGGAGGATGGAAATGGGATGCTGGAACACATCAACAGGATCAAGATGATGGCCCAACAGCTGGAGGTAATTCGGGCAAAGGTGGACAATAGGACATCATCACCACACTGCTCTACAGCCTGCCGGAAAGCTTTGAGTCACTCATTGTGTCTCTGGAGTCCAGGGCGGATGACCTGACTCTGGAGTTCCTCACTGCAAGGCTTCTGCATGAGGAGACACCCCACCACTCTGAGAACACGATGGTGCTGAAAAGGACGGCAGGGCCTTCTTTGGCAGGAGCCGAAACAGCAACACCACTATGAAGAAGGCAGCAGGGCCTTGCTTCTATTGTGGAAAGGAAGGCCACTTCAAGAAGGAGTGCAGGAAGAGGCTGGCAGCAGAGCAGCACAGCTCGGAGGCAAACCAGGCTTCTGGACATGAGGCCGGTGGCCATTGGATCATCGACTCGGGTGCATCACAGCGCATGACCAGCAACAGAGCCTGGTTGAGCAACTTGCAACCTCTCAACAATGCTAGGGTGCATCTGGCTGACAACAGGACAGTGGAGGCGACTGAGAAGGGCACAGCAACCATCCCGATAGCTCTCCCTAATGGCAAGATGACCACCTGCACCTTCAAGGATGTCTGGCTTGTGCCCAAACTCGAGAGAAGCCTTCTGTCAGTTGCTCAGCTGGAGGGAGCAGGAGCCAACATCCAGTTTGTTGGGGGAAGATGCAAAATCAGGGCAAGGAAGGGTGCGCTTGGTCTCAGCTGCGACCGTCAGGAGGGGCTTTATGCCCTGGGACAACCTCTGGATGCTGCTGCCCAGTGCCATGCTGTTGCCACCAGCACAACTGCAGCAACTCCAGAGATCTGGCATCGACGTCTGGGGCATCTCAACCATCAGAGCGTCCAGCTTATGGCCAGGAAGGGTCTGGTCCAGGGGATGAAAACAGTAGGAGTGCCGGAAACCACACCCTGCTCAACCTGTGCTCTAGGCAAGGCCACCAAGCTGCCCGTCCCTAAGGAGTGCTCATCCAGGGCTTCAGAAGTCTTGGAACTGGTGCATTCAGATGTCTGTGGCCCAATGAGGATGCTCACAATTGGAGGAGCTCGCTATTTTGTCCTCTTCATCGATGACAAGAGCAGGGCAGTCTTCCCCTATCTGCTCAGGACCAAAGCAAAGACACTTCCAGGCTTCAAGATCTTTGCTGCAGTGGCTGCAACAGAGACAGGAGGCTCGCTCAGGGTCCTCCAGTCTGACCACAGTGGAGAACACCTGTCCTAGGGGTTCTCAAACTTCACTTAGTCTTTGGGCATCTGACACCAGCTCAGTTCTGTTGCCACACCTCAGCAGAATGGTGTTGCAGAGCGCATGAACAGGATCCTGGTTGAGATGGCTCAATGCCTGCTGCTCCAAGCTGGCCTTCCGTACGAGTTCTGGGGTTAAGCGCTAAAGACACCTGCATATCTGAGGAACCAAAGCCCCACTTGAGCTCTCCACAACAAGGCCACACCCTGGCAGATCTGGACAGGCACTCGTCCAAACATTTAGCTCCTTTGCATCTTTGGCACCATATCCTATGTGTCCACTATCAAGAAGAATCAGCACAAGCTTGGTCCAAATGCCACCAGCTGCATCTTCTTAGGCTACAGCCAGACTACAAAGGGCTATCCATTTTGGGATGAGGCTGCTGGCAAGCTGATTGTGAGCAGAGATGTCAGGTTTAATGAGGAGTTCTTTGCTGGAGATCCTGACAAGTCAGATTCTGCTGCCCAGGCTTCCCCTGACATGGCAGATGAGCTGTCAGATGCTGAAAATGACTTTTCTCAGCAAGGTGAGGCACGGGAGGATGCCTCTGAGCAGAGAGACACGCTGGATGGTGGCTCTGAGCAAGGAGAGGACTTTGAGAATGCTCAGGAGCACCAGGCCAGCCCTGTGGGAGCAATGCCATCCGCTCCCAGGAAGGCTAAGGCCTCCAAAGTGCCTGAACGGAACTCAACCCGCATCCAACAGCCTGCTCAAGAGTACTGGAGGACTGGGACTGGTCTGCTGGCTGAGGGAACTGGCCTACTGGCTGAGGCTATTGCACCTGGAGAAGACAAACCTGCCTCACTCCAGGCTGCTCTCAAAGCCCCTGATGCAAGGCAGTGGGAGCAAGCAGTCCAAACCAAAATCAACAGCCTGCATGCCAACCACACCTGGGATCTTGTTCCCCTGCCTGCAGGCCGTCAGCCCATCAAGTGCCAGTGGGTCTTCAAGGTCAAGAGAGCAGCAGATGGCTTGCTCCAGCGCTACAAGGCCATCTGGTTGCCAAAGGCTTCTCTCAGCAAGAGGGAGTTGATTATGGCAAGACCTCTGCCCCTGTGGCCAAGTTTGGCTCTGTCAGGACGGTTCTGGCTATTGCAGCCATTGAGGACATGGAACTGGAGCAGATGGATGCTGTGACAGCATTCCTGAACCCCAACATTGAGGAAGAAATCTATATGGAGCAGCCTTCTCAGGGCTTTGCCATTGCTGGGCAGGAGGATCTGGTTTGCAGACGTTGTTGCAGCCTGTACGGCCTCACGCAGTCTTTTTGCAACTGGAATCAGCTTCTCAATGCCTGCCACAGACAGCTGGGCTTTGTGCAGAGCAATGCTGACAATTGCATCTACACCCTGCATGCTCAAGACCCCAAGAGCGCCCTCTATCTGCTGGTCTATGTGGACAGCATGATTCTGGCATCCAAATCCATGGTGCAGATCAACCACATCAAGCCTGAGCTCCCCAAGCAGTTCAAGGTGACAGACATGGGCGCTCTGAGCAAGTTTCTTTGAGTTGAGATTACCAGGGACTGCCCCAGCCATTGCCTGTGGCTCTCTCAGAAGCACTTTCTTCGGAAGATGCTTGCCAGCTTTGGCATGGACAACTGCAAACCAGTCAGCACACTAAT